CCAGTGCTGGATGGTGTTCATGTTGTGTGGCCAAGACTGCTAATGAGGAAAGGAAGGCTTGGCAGAGGCAGCTGGGGAAGCAAAGTCATCTTCATGCTGCAAGCAAGTAATGGGGAAAAGTGTCAGTGGTTTTGTCTGTACTCTCAAACCAGACAAAGGAGGAAGCAGTAGCCGTGCCAGCTTCACACCTCTCAAACCCTGGAGATTTTGTAAATTCAGCAGAGACTCTGGCTTGCAAACAGCAAGCTTGCAAACCACCTCACCAGTGCTGACTTGGTGGTATCATCTAAGTAAATCACATGAAAGTTCCTGACTGCTTTAGGATGAGGTGTATTGCGGGAGCAAGCATTGTGCCACAAGGGTCCACCAAACAGACACACAGTTGGCAGGGTGATTAGCTTGTCAGTTTTATCAGGTGAAAAATGAAGCTTGGAAATTCTTTTGAAGGAAAAAGAGAATCACAGCCAGTCTGTTCGACTTTGTCCTTCTTTTGCATTTGCCACCTTTTGGGACAGTTCAGCTCCAATGAAAGCAGGGGTATTTCAGACAGAGCAACTGGTGGCATCTTCTTGCTGCTGCCCTACGGCTGGAGCACAGCAAGAGGAAGGATGATGGAAGCCAGTCAAGAGCCTCCACGCAGTTTCTGTCCAGACCTCCCAAAATGTCACTTGGAGAAGATGTGACAGCCTTACCCTCCTTATTTGTCAGTTCCTGTGAGTCTTTGAGGGAGTAGATCATATGGCCTCTAGATTGACCTGTGTATTCATAACCAGCCCCATAACTCCTTAGGAATATGTTGATTTGGGGGATTCGTTATTTTCAAGCATTGATTTCAAGCATTGAGGCTACAAGCTATTACCCCAATCCCCAGGCTGAGGTAAACAATAGAAAGCTACTGACGATGTTCTCTGCATAGGATAAAAATGCAAACCATTACATTTCTGTAACATGTTAATCCTGCTTTTAATTAAAATATTTCCACATGGAAGGAACTTATTTTTATGATGCAAAGGATGATGTTTTAGGCTTATTATTATAACTTGGTTTTACTGTTCTTAGGGAACCTGAATCTGCATATTCATGGACAATATAATCTATTTTTTTAGGGCAATAATTTTTTACATTTTAATTTTCTTTCGGGAAATACCATCCCTCATTTTCCATTTTTAAAAAAGATAGCCTTTATCCTTTACCATGTCCTTTCTTCTCATTCCCAACCATCTTTTTTTTAGCAGAGTGAGAAATTCACAGGTTTTGCTTGGAAGGCCATGAAAAGACTAACTAAATACCAAAGACATACCAAGTTCTGAAATGAGTCATGCTTCTACAGTATCTGTGCCTCTCAGTTCACTGCTCTCAGTTTCATTGCTGGATGAGAACCCACTGAATATGTTACTACAATAATAAAGAGGAATTATTGTTTGATGGGTTGGGAGATTTCCCTTTTTTAAGTGTTAGTCCTTACCAAGTCACTCATAATAGAAGTTGTAACAATAGCTTCTGACATTTTCTAGAAGTTTAATGGTTTAGTGGCACAAACAGTGAGCTGTGGGGAACTGGAATAGAGAGGGAGATGTGCCCTATTATTCTTAAAACAAAAAAAGAAAAAAAAAAGAGAAAAAAAAAAAAAGAGAAAATTAAGGGTTTAGTATCTTGAAATACTTCTCATGACCAGTAACAGGTGACCAGTATCCAGCCTAAATCCTTCTTAAATATAAGTAAGTATATTTAATGCAAGGATTTAATGCTTGCCACAAGGACAACACCATGACTTCAACTGCGTGAAGCAAGAACTTATTTTTAATTATTAAAAATTGTAATCACAAGAAAAAATCCGTTCTAGCCAATGTGAACTTTTCCCAAAAAGTGGAGACCAGAACTGAGTACACTTCAAATCCAAAGAGACTTGAAAAGAAAGTACCTTAATTGCTTAAAGAGAGAGCAACATTTTGAAAAACAATTAAAGTAAAATGTGCTCTTTTTTTTTGTAGAAGAGAAGCTTTCTGTTTTATATAAATATGTCTATCAAGATATTTCCTTTCTGGGAAAATGAACTGGAACACACTACTCCAGCTAAGTCCAGAGGAAGTTGTGTAGGTTCTGGCCTACCAAGATAAGAAACTTGAGGAATACTATCAACAGTAAGAGTTACAGTGAATAGATGCAGTGGTAACTGGCATGCAGGGAGCAGATATGCTATTTGAAATCTCAGTATTTAATCTCCTTAATTGTAGGAGGCGTGTCTAGGGGTGGAGGGGGAGCACCCAGGACAGGAAGCCCAGGGGACATGCGCTGAAATAGATAATTCCATTGGTCACAAGGTCACATGGTTTTAAGGGATAAAAAGGGCGCCGGGTTTGAATAATGTCTCTTTGATTACCATCTCATCAGACAGCAGACCACATTTCATTATATAAAGACCCCACACGACACTTAATGGGTATTTTGGCTTTGCAAATGCATTGTCATGCTTTAACAGTTATTTTTTAGAAGGGAGTGTTAACTGTGTTTACTTTCACACACTCAAAAGCAGATCATATTATTTGCTTAGAACACAATTTCTTATTGCTGAAGGTAATGTGGTTTTAGGATCCTAATTGTAATGACTCAGCAAGGTTGGTTTTAGAAAATGAACTGACCTTGCAGTGTAGAAAACTCTACACTGTGTAGAAAACTGAGACAGGACATGAATTTCCCTCTGCTCATCTGATCATAATTTACCATTGCTTCTTCCTCGGTGCCACTGGAATTAAACTGGAGGGTTACCAGTTCACATGAGCTGGGAATTTCACTTTTAAAGTTGTATACAGAGAAAAGGAATTCATCCAGGACACAAGTAATGAAGAGTTTGGTGTTTGGAAGCAAGGTGGGGTTGGCAGTCCGTGGCTGCAGCAGGGTGGCCCACAGAAGCACTGCAGCTGCCTTCCAGTTTGCAGGCTGGGCTGTGGCACTGGCATGGCTGCAACGCTGAGAAGAAAGATTTTCCTCGTGTTCTCTGTCAGAGTTTGTTCCTCTAGGAACTCTTAGCACTGAAAAATCCTGTGCACCTTACTAAGGATTTCATGGTGTCAGCAGAAGTGTGGGAAACATTGATACAAATGACTCATCCCTGCCTATATGAGGATTAGTAGGAAGATTTTTGGATATTAAAAAGCACAGTCACCTTCTTGGAAAATATCAATTTCGATCTTACTTGCTTTGTTCACCTTTTTTTGCTTTGTGTTAAATTTCTAAGCAAAGTAAATTTATTCTGCCAGTCAAAACTGAGAACTAACACCTTCATTTAGGATTTATTCTCTATTTTGTCACCCTCATTTCTTGATCTTCCCTGAACCAGGGGACAGACTGGATTGTAAGGGGTGAGGGTTGGCAGGATGCAGCAGTCCGTGAGCACTTCCCATGGGCAGTTCTTGATCCCCTCTCCAGCCCACACCCCTCAACCCCAGTGCTGGTCTGGTTGCTTCACCAGAGCCACCCCTGCAACTTCCCTTGGCCTGCTCTGAAGGAGTTCACAGCTATCCTTCCTAGAAATGGGGCTAATTCTGTGTGATTATTTGGAGACTTATTTCCACAGTCTTTTTTTTCCCGTTTGTTTAGTTTTGGTGTGCTTTTTTTTATGAAGTCAGACCTGGCGGAACAAACCAAACCCATGGATGAAGCAGTAGTTGACTGTGCCTTGTGAATAATTTTTTCCAAAATAAAGTCTGAAATAAGCATTCTTCAGTTCTACTGAAGCTATTCTGAAGTTTCATGTGGAAGACAAGGCTTTTGACCCCAGTTCCATAAATCCACTCCAGAAAACTGACTCTGTATAGATGAAACCTTATCACTTTTAGTACCGTTTCCCCAGAAGTGCAACACAGCACAGATAAGCAGGGTGCTATGGACAAACCATGAGAACTGCCAGAACTGTGACTGGGACCTGTGCTGCACAGCACTGGTGTGTGAGTTTTATGGAAAAGTTTATTAAGCTTTCTGGCCCATAAGCAGCCCCATCTTGGAAGGATTTTTTTTTCATCTATGCTAAATTTTTGAGACTTTGCATTCACTATTTTATTAATTTCCTTTTGAAAATAATGTATGTTTAAAAACTGTATTTTGCCTCATTTGTTTAACTTCTAGAAAAATAATAACTGGAAGAAATACCAGAGGGTTCCAATAATATACAGCTGACCTGGTAACACAATGGTGGTGAAATACAGATTTCTCCAAAATGTTAAGATGGCATGGTGAAGAGAGAGGACCTCCTGACTCTAACTTTCTTCTTTTTCCCTTAAGAATCCTTGCCTTTCTTTAAAAAGTAAGAATAAAACAAAGACATTTTGGCTTGCTGTTTTCTTTTTCCTTTTTATTTGTTGAGTAACTATGTCTGCTGCAGGGTCCCCAGCTTTAAATGTGTCTTCTAGACATGGTCTCAGTACAAATAATTTCTGTTACCTCACAGTTGGCCAAAAAGTAATTGAAATCAAATGCTGTTTTCTGAGCTCTCATCACTGTCTCTGAGATCTTCTTGTTTCTTTTAAGAATAGTTCATTTTTCTTTCAATTCCCTTCTATGAACGCAATAGCACTTTACTGATAAGCAGCATGCTTATAAAGAACTGAAACAGTCTTGCCAAAACACATGTACATTAACCTACAACTCTTATATTTGTCTGTAATTTCACTTTGTCCTCTACTGCCCGTTCTGTTTTTTTTCTGCACTGCAAAGTACCATGTCGACTGAAATATGTCAAAACAGGTTTTTATTTGGCAATGATATTTTTAAGGACCGTTATGAATTTAAAAAAGCATAATGGTACGAGTTTCTAAACAATTAATGGGCCATGAATTAACATATTCTCACTGCAGACAAGTTAGGCAATAAAAACTAGAATCCCTCATGAGAGAGCAGCTGAAAAATATTTCATGCTACTTCCAAGTTTCTGTAAAAATCAGGACATTTCAATAACAGTTTGCATTGCAGAAGTCACCCAAGGATGTCAGAACCAGAAGGGTAAGTAGGCTGAATGTCCTTTTATTGTACAGGTTTGAAGAAGTACAAAAAACAAGCAACAGAAATAAGATTTGAAACAGTCCCATGGTGGCAGCCATTTCAAGTGCCACTAGTTACAAAGCCCAAGAAATACACGTTTTGCTGTAATGTTTGTGACAGGGTGTCACCAGAATGAAAAATTACTCCAGTATTTCAGTCTGTTTCTTTGGTCTTTTATGTTGTTCTGGAGAGTGGTGAAGTTGCTAGCTGGTTTTATTTCTGGTATTTGAGCTTCATACCTGATACCCATCTCTCCTATTGCTTCTTTAGCTTGTATTGATGAGTGGTAGCGAGGAAAGTATGTACACCCTGCAAAAGAGACCTGTGTCATAGGCATGGTACCCAAGACCTAGTGGTCATTGCCATTGTTCATATCAGTCCTTTTTTGTTTAGATGTATCTTTTTATTATCACCCCTTTGAATGATACTTTTCTGAATGGCTGGAGATCAGGAAAAGCTTTAAAGTGGTTCCTTACATGATGCTTAAACAAACTTCTAGCAATTTCGGCCCTCCAGGACTAATATCAGCATCTCTTGGGAGCACATGTGCTCTCTCTTCTGCTTCTTTATGCCAGATCCAGGAGCCTGTGCCAAATGTACATTGGGGTGGTCAGAGGCAATAGCTTTTTTTTTTTTTTAAAAGCTGTTGGGGCTTTCACCAAATTTTTAACAATATTCATTGGGTAAAAGATCCTGGATATAGCTCTGTTTCCTCCGTTACTAACATATAACAAGTGAGCAGGGAAAACACACCGTTTGAAATGGAGTTACTCAGGGACAATTTCCCAAGGGGAAAATCCACGCCCAGTTTATTGTAAGCTATTCTAAAGATTTTGATTATATTGCAATTATTACTGAAAGCTGCGTGGTTTGGAGCGGAAATTAATTGAAATACCAAGGGCTATACATTTCTGTGGTTCAATTTGTGAGCAAAGGGGAAGAGGCAGACGTCATGCAGCAATAAAACATAGAACTGGATGGTGATGTTTGAGATTGCAGTAGCCAGGATGACTATGTCCACAAGCAAGCAGGATGTGCCACTGGCACATGTGGCTTTTGGATATTTCTTTGTAGAAAAGTTATTTCAAATACCTTTTCAAAGAAGTTTAAGTGAATTGGAAACATTGCAGGAAGGAATAAAAGCCTTGTCCCCAAATAGTTAGATGAGGCAAATATATTTCAACTACAAGTAACACTGTCCAAGTGAAAAGTTACTACAGAAGCCATAACTACTGCAAAAAATATCCTATGTAAGCAAATCCTTCTCGAATTACTTTACATCTTCAAACAAAGCAAATGTTAGAATTACTGAAATGTAAAAAAAAAATACATTCTTGGAAAAGAGGATACAAACTTTGAAAGAAAAATGCATGTTCTCAGCCTAAGTCAGGACCACTTAAATAACCAATATAATACTTTATTTTTGGTGCAGTTTCAATCAGTAAAATCTAGCAATTCCTGAAAGGTAAGGGATGTGTAGTTAATCCACAAATACATGATTCTCTATACGTGAGTGAAATAGAAATGGAAAGTAGCAGCACTTTTTCTCAGCAGAAAACACCATAAGATTTCACTATCTGTCATAAAGTTACAACTCCTTACAATGGATGTGTAATCTAACTGAAAAGTCATATAGATTAATTTAGAGTAGAAAAAAGTTACTTACATTGAATAATGCATTACATTTGCAAAAATAAAATTCAGGAGCATAATTATTTAAATACAGTCAGAATGAACTAGAAGCAATGCCACAAGATAGATCATAGAGCCAATAATAAATATTATACATAATATTTCTTTATAAGTGTTATAATTTATGTGAGGTTAAAATCTTTGTACCTTAGTTGTTAAGTTTCCTTGTCACTTTATCAATCAGTTGGAGACATCTCCTCATTTCTGCACGGCTGATCTCCCAGGAGCACAGGTTGTGTTGTTTGTCTTTAAGAAAACAATCTATTTTTTGGAAATATTTTTTCAGTTTCAGCCTGCTTACTTCTTTACTCCAACAGTAGTGGGTGTGCTTTTTGATTACACATGCCTCCAATTGCTCAATTTGCTGATAAAGTCCATTTTGGAACTGATCCAAAGCTGTCTCATCCCAAGCAGCTAGAGTTAGATTTTTGCTAAAGATATAGAATATATGTTGGAAGATCTCTTCAATGGCAACTCTGACAGTCTCTTTCTGTCTGGGCTGTAGAACCTGCTTAGGAAATCTGAAGGACATTTTCTCTCTTAGACATCGTTGAGGAAAGTTTTTGCCCATTTTGTCCAAAAGTTGCAGGCTGTTTTCAATCATTTTTCTTTGCTGTAATAGAAGATGGTTGCACTGATGATTGCAGATGATGGTGGTGCACAACAGTATGAGGCCAATTTGTATCAAGCCAAAAGCATTCATGATACAGCAGGCTCTAATATTCCTCCTTTCCTGTGTATAAATTCTGAGACGGGTTAGGATACTTTGAAGGCATTCGTAGGCTCCCGTTTCTTCAAAATCTTGAAATTTAATTATTCTGTAGAAGAAGTTTTCGTTCATCATTTTTTGGTTTTTAAGGTTTTCCCCCTTGTGTATGCTTTCGAGAACACTTTCATTTTCTGCTTTATGACTTCACAGTCTTTTTTTTTTGCCACTTTCCTTTTTATTTCAGCTGGATATTAGAATGTTATATATATGTCAGATTATTCTCTCCCCCTCAAAAATTCTATACGAAGTATAAGAATTTGAAATAAAGAGTTTCAGAAATATTTTTTTTTCTTAATATTCTACCAGTTGTAGAACATGTTGCAATAAAGAAGCACTCACAATGATGGGACAGGGACCTGCTGAATGCTACTGCCATCCTGTCTCCTTACCATAATTTGTACTTCCAAGATTCAGTTAAGCTTTCTCTACCTGTTTTCTTTCAGGGAAAATATTTTCTTTCTCCTCACCTTTATTTCTCTTGACCATTTAGACTCAAAGGACAGATGTCATATCATTAAAATGTGTGTGTATGTGTGTGTGTGTATGTGTATAAAAATGTGTGTTAATATACCTTTGTGGTTTTTAATACATGCACACTGCTAATTAAATGAGGCCTTGGTCTCACTTAGAGACTGCAAGTGCCATGCAAATACAAATACTCACAGGAGAACAAGTTAGATACTTAGATACAATATTCTTTTTCCTCCCATATGAGTAACTGAACAATAGTTAATATCAAGCCCAGTTGAGTACAGGTCTGAATTATGACATTAAATGGGAAGAGAATGAATAGAGAAGACAAAAAGCATGTTAAAATTCAGCCATTTGCTTTCCCTAGCCATATAATAGAGGAGGTTAGAACTAACACAGTACCTTGGGAAATCTGGCTCCTGTTTTTGATTATATTTTGATGAAAGCTACTCTTAAACTGCTGTTTTGCCGCCCCCCCTGCCTCCTGTGAATATATATGTAAAGGTAAAAGCAATGCTCTGTAGGTGACAGTGTCTGGATGAAGAGGTCAGAAAAACTGCTTTTTCAGTCTGAGACTTGGCTCTGTATGTCTTGAATTGAGAGTAAGAAAATAAATCCCCCAGCTTTCCAGCTGGTTCTCAGAGATCAGAGGAGCTGGATGCAGCATATCTCTTGGAAATCCCTTCACCAGATATCCCATGGCATATCTCATGGCTGTAGGCCTCATTCCTAAAGTATTTTTTTCCTGTTGTTGTACCCATTGTTATATGGTTGGCTTGATTCCCATTTTGGTAGTCACTCTGAGCAAATTGATGATACTATTTTAGGGCCCCCTTTATGTTCAGCACATAGGTATTTGGGAGGCTTTAAAAACTCACAAATTAAGCTAAGCACAGTTATTCTCATAAGCAAACTTTTTGGATGCCCTGATGTTGCTTAGCAACCTTGGACTGGATGTACCGCCAATGTGAGGAAAAATGTATCCCCTATCACCTATGACAGTATTAACTAAAACGAGTAACAGCAATCAGAGTGGATACAAAATGTGTAACATGGAACCAAATCTTTTCATTTAGTGGGAATGTTTATTACTTTGGAAAAATGGCCTGAAGTGCATTATTGTGTTAGATGCAATATGGCCATGAAGATGTATCACTTTTGAAAAAGTATCAAAGTTAAACACATCAAAGTTATCATGAAATCAATAAAAAATGTATGTACTTCGAGAAAATTATTACGTAATGTTACAGGTATTTCCATAAATTATACACAAGTATTTTTTCAAAATTGTAATAGTTATATGAGTTTAATCCTTCTACTGATTTAAACAGGTAAACTCCTTCATATTCATTGTATTTCCCAGACACGCAAGTTCTTTCTTTCCTCTTGCAAAAAAGTTTTGTCCTCTCAATGACGAGCTGGAGATGCCATCCCTGGTGTCACTAGGTCCAAGTGTTTTATTCTCTTGTGTTAACAGATCAGTTGTCCTTGCCTCCTTACAAAAGTTACACTTGACTTAGTCCACTAGGGTTTGGTTTTGGGGTTTTGTTTTTGGGTTTTTTGTTTGGTTGGTTGGTTTTTTCAAAAGAATAATTAATTGTTCATCCCCACTCAGCCAGTTTCTTGATTATTGCACTAAGCAAAAAAATTATCCTTATTGCTTTATTTAGAAACAAATAGTTCATTAAAAGTAATGACTGGAAGAAGTAAATGAGTGATATGAAGCTGCAGATTGTTGTTTATTTCCCTTCCTGTGGGTGAAGCACAGACCAACCACTCTAACCTAGAATGAAATGAGGAAAAAAGTTGGCAAAGCACAGTTGTATTTCCAAGTAGACGCAGCAGATCATTATTCTAGAAGGGTTATCATGTCTTTGATGTCATGCAAAAAAGATATGACCTTAAAAGATCATCTAGCTATATATGTATCCATTACAAAATACTAAAGCTAAACAAATGCACAATTTTATATCTTTCTAACACCTTTAAAATGCTGTAAATTACTTCTCTAATGAAGATTTTTCATTGTATTTTTTGTATATATTTTATAATGCAATAGAGGAATTCCATGAATATTTGCTTCCACCTTTTATCTCAGGCACCAAGGCAAATGGAAAGTCTAAGTTCATATGCTGGCAAATGGAGCACTGGGAAGGAACATTCCTGCAAAATAGTGTGCTTTGACCTCATAACTACCCCACGTTAAACCATTTCATCTATTCTAGATATCAGTTTCTTTTCTCCATTCATTCCAAACATGCAGGTTTTAAGAAGTCCATGTGCAACAAAGGAATTCAAGCCATAGGTTTGGCTTATCACTACACAAGACAGCTTCCTCCCCTGCTAGCTTGACACTGCCCATGCTAAAAGAAAATCATTTTTCTCCACTTGGTTTTCATTGCGGCTATAACTTGCCAGTCTTCCCCCTTATAGAATAATAGAATGGTTTGGGTCGGAAGGTTCTGAGTCCTGTGAGGAGCAGCTGAAGGAGCTGAGGGTGTTTAGCCTGGAGAAAAGGAGGCTCAGGGGTGACCTTATCACTCTCTACAACCACCTAAAAGGAGGTTGTAGCCGGGTGAGGGTCAGTCTCTTCTCCCAGGCAACCAGTGACAGGACAAGAGGACACAGTCCTAAGCTGCACCAGAAAAGGTTTGGCTGGACATCGGGAAGAATTTCTTCCCAGAAAGGGTTGTTAAGCATTGGAATTGACTGTTCAGGGAGGTGGTGGAGTCACCATCTCTGGAGCTGTTCAAGGAAAAACTGCATGTAGCACTTCACGGTAAACACCTGTTTGGCACTTGGTCTAATAGACAAGGTGATCAGTCAGTGGTTGGATGGACGTAATGATCTTAGAGGTCTTTTCCAACCTAAATGATTCTGTGATCCTATAGTTCCAACCCCCTGCCATGGGCAGGGACACCTTCTTCCACTAGACTGAGTTGCTTAGAGCTTCATCCAGTCTGGTCTTGAACAGTTCCAAGGAGGGAGCATCCATAACTTGTCTGGGCAACCTCTCGCAGTGCCTCACGACCCTCACAGTAAAGAATTTCTTTCTAATATCTAATCTAAGTCTATCCTCCTTCAGCTTGAAGCCATGCTTCCTTGTCCTACCACTACATGCCCTTGTCAAAAGTCCCTCTCCAGTTTTCTTGTAGACTCCCTTCAGGTACTGGAAAGCTGCAATTAGGTCACCCTAAAGCCTACTCTTCTTCAGACTGAACAATCCCAATTCTCTTAGCCTGTCTTATAGGAGAGGTGCACTAGCCCTCTGATCATCTTTGTGGCCCTCCTCTGAATTTGATCCAACAGGTCCATGTCCTTCCACTGCTGGGGCCCCCAGAGATGGATGCAGCACTCCAGCTGGGGTCTCACGAGAGCAGTGTAGAGGGGCAGAATCACCTCACTCAACCTGCTGGCCCCCTTTCTTCTGATGTAGCTTAGGATGTGGTTGGCTTTCTGGGCTGCTAGTGCACACTGTCGGCTCATGTTCAACCTTTCATCCTTAAGAACCCCCAAGGCCTTCTCTGCAGAGCTGCTCTAAATGAGTTCAGTTCAGTCTGTACTCATGACTGGGATTGCCCTGGCTCATGTGCAGCACCTTGCACTTGAACTAGTTGAACTACACGAGGTTCTTATTGTCCCACTTCTCGGGTTTGTCCAGATCCCTCTGGATGGCATCCTGTCCTTTTGTGGTGTCAAATGCACTACTCAGCTTCATCTGCAAACTTGCTGAGGTTGCACATGATTTCATGGTCTTTGTCACTGATAAAGATATTGATATATCTACTTCCAATCCCTGTCTTCCAGCTCAGGGGGCTGGGTACCCTGAGGACAACTGGGTTTATTAGTAAAGGCAAAAAAGGCATTCAAGACCTCAGCCTTTTCCTCATCTGTTGTCATTATGTTTCCATGTGCATCCAATAAAGGATGGAGATTGTCCTTAGCCCTCCTTTTGTTGCTGATATATTTGTAGACACATTTTTCATTGTCTTTAAGCCAAATCAAGTTCTAGCTGGGCTTTGGTCCTTCTAATTTTCTACCTGCCTAACCTCACAAAATCCTTGTAGTCCTCCTGAGCTTGTCCCTTCGTCCAAAGATCATAAACTCTCCTTTTTCTCCTGAGTTCCCACCAAAGCTCTGTTCAGCCAGGCCAGTCTTCTTCCCAGCCAGCTCATCTTTCAGCACATGTGGGCAGATTGCTCCTGCACCTTTAAGGTTTCCTTCTTGAAGAATGTCCAGCCTTCCTGGACTCCTTTGCCCACAAGGACTGCCCTCCAAGGAACTGTGGCAACCAGTCTCCTATACAGGCCAAAGTCTGGCCTCTGGAAGTCCAGGCGGCAGTTCTGCTGGTCCCCTCCCCCTTAGTGCTCTGAAAAGCAAAACTATTCATTTCTTTTGTCTCTGAGCCCAGGATGGCCTCTGACCACCACATCTCCCACTAACTCTTCTCTGTTCACAAACAGCAGGTCCAGCAGGGCACCTTCCCTGGTTGGCTCCCTCATCCACTGTGTCACAAAGTTATCTTCCATACAGTCTGGATATCTCCTGCACTGTTCCCTGTCTCCTGTATTTCCAAGCAGACATCAGGCAAGTTGAAGTACCCACGAGAACAAGGCCCAGAGATTGTGAGACTCCTCCCAGCTGCTTACAGGATATTTCGCCTGCCTCTTCAGC